TTTTTCTTTTGCTTGGTGTAGGATGTTGTAGTCGGCTGAGGTGCAGCAATTGTAGGGAATTAAGATGAGGAAGAAGAAGGGAAAGGGAAAATGACAGATGAACAATAGGTGAGGAAGAAGATGAGAGTAATAAAAATATATAAATAATATTAATTAATAAAAATGCCATATCATGCAACTGTTACTGAATAAACGACGGAGTGACCCAAAAAATGTAATGTATAAAATTCAGTGAATAAATTAAAAAAAAACTAAAAATACGATGACTAAATAGAAGAGAGGTTAAAATTTAGGAAGTAAGCATGTAATTTACCCATTATATAATTATAGTATACGAAATTTAAACAAAGTACTATTATATAAAGACAAAAATTTTGAATTCATTAAATAATTTCTGTGGTTAATTACTGTATTATTTTTTTAAAAAAAACTTAAATTTAAACAGTTACATTTATAAAACGTGCTATTGTTATTGATGATTAGAAAATATCTTGAACAAATATTAATCAAATTATTGCAAAACACTAAAGGAAACACAAATTCTTCTAATCTTTCTACCCGCACAACATTTAATGTGAAGTAGAGACAAACATGTAAAGATCAAAGAAATCAATTCCAGTCTGACTTTTTAACCCACTTGCCGTAGTTGGACTATCATGAAATCTAAGCTTTCATGATAGAACAAACGGTCGTTGTCGTGAATAAGATATGGGTCGAGTTGGATTGAATTTTTTATCAATCTGACTTGATTCGAAAACTATAAATTTTTTATTCGATTTGAATTAGAGCAGAAAATTATATATCTTCTATCAACCCGAATTTGACCCAATTTTTTTAAACAAAATCTGAATCCTACCGTAAATAATATATTTATTAAAAAATATATTATTATTTTTCAATAAAAAAATATTATTTTTATTAAATAAAAATAGAAATTTAATGGAAAGAAAATAATATATAGAAGAATATCATTGCAATTATCTTCAAATATATAGGGTAAAATTATATTTTTTGGAGTCAGATCGGATTGTCTATTTTTCACCCTAAACATAAACCCAACCCGATGCAAACATAAACTTAAAGAAACCCGATCAACCCGAACCCGAACCTAATTTTTTCTAAAAAAATTTGACCCGATCAAATCAGATTGAAACTCTATCAAGTTCGAGTCATGCCCCTCTCTAAGGTAAGTTTGTCAAAATCTCTCTTTCGGCCTTCAAATCAAATTTATAATTGTTTCATCGCGTGCACTTCATCCTCTCCAACTTTTCTTGCTACTTTGAATGCCACTAAAAGTAGGAGTATTCAACTTAAAGATGTACAGCTAGTTTCAGCAGGTCCATAAATATTTTTGAGGTGAGGACACACATTAATTATTAAATTTTTTTATATGAAGTGAACACAAATAAAATTTTAAAATAAACATCCATAATAAAATGGACAACTAATATCAAGAAATTTGGTTATAAGGTGGGTATGTGCCCACCCAAGATATGCTTTGCATCCGCCACTGACTAGTTTACGTTTCATAGATTTTTTACATTTTTTTCATTGAGTTTAATGATTAAAATAAACATTTTAAATTATATGTAAAAGAATAATAAAGCAATTAAATTAACTTATTAAGTAGTGAACAATTTAATTAATTATAAGTCATATTATAATGACATATTTATAATACAGAAAGCAATTTATAAGTAGTAGGAATAGTTGCCAATACGATCTTTAAGCTCATAAATGGGCTGGTTTAGTTTTTCATTCTTATAATGAATAGTTGAGCCTATTAGGTGGGTTTGGATCGATTGGGTCATTAGTTTCTAATAGGATTCTATCGAATATATTTATTTATAGAAGCAATTAATTTTATTCAAAATAAAAAATATATCGAATACAATAAAGATTTTCATTCACAATCGTAAATAAAACACATAATTAGAAATTTTTTCTATAATCATTGAAACAAAACTAGTAACTTAAGAGCACATAAGGACCATATAAGGAAAGATTAAATCTAATCAAGAAACTCGAACAAAGTTATAAATAAACTAATCGTATCTACAAACAAACCGCAAAAGGAGATCAAACTATTGAAAGACCAACTTCAAAATGCAAATCAGATTTGAGCGACGTGAAAAACTATACGCGAACACAAATCGTGTATCTAAATCCAAACCGAGGGTACAAAGTAGGAAAGATCAACAAGATATTAGATAAGTGTCATATTGATCAGTCATGACAATGTCAAATCGACACTAGCATATGTTATTAAAAATTCACAATCATGATACTTGCAGTGACCACAATATCATGCGTTTTGCCCGCAATAGCTATAAACGCAACGCGACCAAAGACACAAATGTAAATTGTAACTTAAATTCTTGAATAGGTGCATCATTTTTTTGGTTCGCCGAGGGCCACCAAAATCTCAGAAACGGGCTTGAGTGTTCGTTTCTCGTTCGTTTATATGTTCAATTTTTAGTTTTAGTTTTATCTTTTCAAGCTAAAGAAAAATGGTAAAATTACACCACTTGTTCTTAAACTCTTTAAAATTCATAGTTTAAATTTCAAATTTTATTATGTGTTCAATTTAATAAATACATTCACCAATATTTAAAATGTAAAAAAAGAAAAGAAAAGGAAAACTTCTTGTTCATGAACATAAATAAACGAGTCGATAAACGAGTTAGTTCATGAACATAAACGAACCAAACACACATCTGTTCGTGTTTGTTTGTTTGTTAAAAATACAAAAAAAAATTCATACTCGATTATTTAGCTTAACAAATGAACATAAACAATCATTATACGAACTGTTCTTTGAACGTCATGTGCATTTACACCCCTAGTACTTGGATCGTAACTACCATTAAATTTGGTCGTTATCTGATATGTGTCACATGTACAAAAATTCAAAATTATTTTATTTAAAAATTAATATTTTAATTAAAAACAAAACCCCCAAATTTTAATTTTCCCCTGTCGATCAGCTATCGTCGGGCCGTGGTCATCACCGTTGACACCATCATAACCATCTCGTCGCCATGACCAAAACCCAGTCCCCTACCCATTGCACTGATTGTCATGAAAAACACCGCAAAGGATCCCTAATTTTTGAATTTTTTGTTGTTGTTTTCCGGCTATTTGATGGCTACAACCTTCCATATGTTGCACGACCACCACCATTGAGTTTCTCGTCTTGATCTGAACAAAACCCGACTGACGATGAGCCTTCGTCATCGACGGTGGGGGATGGGATGAAGTGCGACGATGTAGGGGTGGGGCTTTTATTTTTTTTAAATAATATTTTTATTATTAAAAAATTAAAAAATATAACAGTAGATACCTAAGACTGTAGCAAAAAGAATTTCTTTATGTACTAAATCGTATTTTAAGATATAGTTTAAGGGCAAAATAATGTATTAAGCCAACAATTCACAAGTAGTAGAAATAATTGTCAAAAGGGGTCCTAAGTTCGATGATATTTTAAACGAAAAATATGCAAATGGTTGTGTTTCTTTGAAAAACCCCAAATTTTAAAAGCAAAGATTAAAGTTGTCATCAATCATTTGTGATTATTTATGACTTAGAAAGTCGTCTTTTTAAAATCACGTGTAAGGAAAATTTTCTGTCTTTTATTTTTTGTTTTTCTCAATTTTCTCTGTATTGTTTTCAAATAGCCCCTAAAAAGTTGCCCTTTTATCCTGATTTTTGCACTTCTTTTAAAGTATCTCTCACATGGAGCCTAATATATAATTAAGAAAAAATATTATCGATTTTATTATTATTATTTTTAATAAAATCAATAAAAAATTATCGAAAATTTTATTATTTTTATTAATTTTGTTATTATTGGACGATTTATCGAGTTTGGTAATATATCTGGTAAAAAAATAATATTTTAAATAGCTCTTTACCGAATATATTACCAAGCTCGATAAAGTACTCAGTAATGTTTTGAGTAGAAATAATAATGTTTTCGTAATTTTTTTTATTAATTTTATTAAAAAAATATTAAAACCAATAACATTTCTTTAATTATAAATTAAGACCGCCGATAAAACTTATATTTTAAAGGCACAAACGAGGCCCTAACAAGAGAAAGATTGCTTACTAGAAACCACCTAGAACACAGATTGACTATGCCCTTGATATTGATACGACAAAGACGCAATAGTAAGGATAGACTAGTAGTTAATATAATATTAGAGATTTCCACTAACAATTTTTTAATGTTACTTAATCTAATAAACAACCCCAAATTTATTAAAAAAAGACTGAATTAAACTATGGTTCAGTTTTACCATTGTATGCTTAACTGAAGAATATATATATATATATATATATATCAAATAAAATTTAAAGGGTAAACTACGAATTTAGGATTTAAACTATCAGTTTTGATTCGTTCTGGTATCCAAATTTTTAATTTTTTTCGAAATCATATCTAATGTTTAGTTTTTTTTTCGTTTTAGTGCATCGCGGTTACAAATTTAAAGGGTGATTTGTACGAGGTGCCTTTCTTATGGGTAAATTATATCATTTATTACTCAACTATCTTTTCACTTCTATTTTGGTCACTAAAGTTTAAATTTTTTATATTAATTATTTAGCTTTCAAATTACTCATAATTTAATCACTCTAACTTTCAATTTCAATTTTTCAATTTTAATTATAAATAGAATAAATTAGAGTGATTAAAATAGGAGCAATTTGAAAGTTGAGTAGTTAAATTGAAATGTTTTAAATTTTAATAGCAAAATAAGAGTAAGAAGATAGTTAAGTGATGAATGTTATAATTTATTTACCCTTTAAAGTGCATAGCCATTAATTTTTAACGGCGATGTATTAAAATGAAATAAAACTAAATATCATGTATGGTTTTTAAAAATAAAAGTTTAGATACTAAATGTTTTTGATAGTATAGGTACTAAACATGAAATTTACTCACAAATAAAATAAAATAAATATCCTATTGACTCGCTCACGACGACCATCTCCACTAACATTCTTGCAATGGCTACAGCCGAGGAAGCAACTGTTTCCTACGACACAACAGCCACAACTTCGGACGGCCCCGTCCATAGCTTAATAGAAAATCGCCTCATCGAACTACACAATAAATACGACCACTTCCTCCAAGAGGAAGAAAATGTCCTCCGTTCTAAAGCCGACGTCTCCGTCAGGATCAATGAACTTGAGCATCTTCGACACTCTCTTTCTGCCGCCGTCTCCGAAGAAATCTTTCTCTCCCCACAGAGTCAAACAATTTGGCTAGAAAAGATAACCTCAGAAGCTCAATCCAATGATCCTGTTGAAGTGGCTGCTGCTGCTGCTGCTGCCTCCGGGGCTTCTACGCCTTTCCAGGTTCTGGTGCCTATCGTGGATGATTCAGCTGCTCAGTACCAGCCAAGGGTATTAAGTTTTGCATTTTGTTTCTGATATGTGTTAGCATTATCGAATTTATTGTTAATTTGTTTTACTTGATGCAAATACATTGATATCTTGGTTTTCAGCTATATATAGGTTGATAGTAACTGAGTGTTGGAGAAGCAAAGTTTAAATCATGCCTGCAACCTGCTTAATTATTTGTTTCTTTTTGTATATTGTGTAGTTGCATTGATATTAGAGAGTTTAAATTCATATGTATGTCTTTGAGTGATATCATTTCCCTCTCTTGATTTTCTAATTGTTTATCGATTTTCATAGCTATTTGTTATTTATGTCTATCAATTTTATTTAGTGAGTGTCATCTTCCCATGCTTCCTATAGAAATTCCTTTTCTGTGTGTTGGGGCAGATAAAAGTATTTAAAACGGTGAATAATCTTGTTTGTGGAAGATCATTATGTGTTCGCTAATATCATTATGGCAAATCTACCTCAGATGCTGTCCTTCCATTTTCTTGGAAGGGAGGAGGTTGTCTAAGCAAGGTTTTCTTCTGTTAATGATGAAAGTGTAAAACATCTAAATAGGAACTTGTTGGAGACTTGAGTTACAGAGGAAAGTATTGGGTTGGTGTAACATCCCAACCCGTACTCGATCCGGATCCGAGTCCGAGGTGTCACATTAACTTTTCAAAACATTGACTTTTACAAAATAATGAAAAGTTTCCACTTTTATTAAATAAAGCTACATATTCATGCAATTTAAATCAAAGAGTTTACAAATCTTATCAGAACTTATACAATTCAAATCTTTTAACTACATGCCAACAACGTTCTATATAATAAAATACATATATTCGAATATATTTATGTTCTGATTTGTGGAAATGAGGAGCTGACCTGGATCGCCTACCTTCACTCCCTTTTCTCATGTCGGAACCTACGTGTGAAACAAACACAGGCTAAGTCTATGACTTAGTGAGGATATAAAACATGTAATGTAAACTCTAACTCATATCAATGCATGAACAATTAATACTATCATATCATATAAAAGCATATATCCTTCATATAACAAATACACATATGCACATATCATCATCTTTATTCTTAGTATTATCAACAATTCATTCTATCATATGATCCTATATTTATCATTTATACACATCACATATCACTTCACAAGGAAACAAACATATTATCATATCAAATTTATTTATATTATTTCTTTATTAGCCCATGTACACATGTGAGAACTAAAGATATGTGAGTACATAGAGGTTGTGCACATATGCTGTCACCACAACTCGTATAATTCCCACTAGGGGCACATAGAAATGTCCCGAAGGACCGCGTAGAAATGTCCCGAATGACCACATAGATGTCCCGAATGACCACATATAACACATATGTCCCGAAGGACTACTCCTTAAGAACCATATACATATTCCAATGGACCAAATAAGTGTACCAAAGTATCGCATATATGTTCCAAAGAATTACATATATGTCCCGAAAGACCATGTAGAACCCTCGACTCTTGGCATTCCAACTATACCTCTAGCTCTCATAACACATAACATGGACATTGTCATTTATATTATTTCACATATTCATATCGCATAGGCTCGTAGCTTCTTATCACATAGCTTCTTATTATATCATTCACATCATATGGCTTATCTCATAGACATATATTCATATACCTTAAAATCACATAGTTTATACAATTTCATCTATAGTTACATAGTTCAATATTATTTAGCTTACTTCACTCTTCATATGCTCACACAGTTCATTATCACATGGTTTATATCATATTCACATAACATGTATTCACAACAATCATATAACATATACCATAGCATATATCACATATATTCATATCAAACACATGCTTATAATCATGAATTCATGCCTTCTAATATAGGAAATAGACTTATCACAAGTCTAATTTCCATTCATCATCATATACTAACTAATATGCACTCACCTGGCCTCACTAGTCAATATCGATCTCTTATCTCTTTCTTGATGAATATTACTTGGTCAACTCGTCCGGACTTTGCTCTCGATCGCTATCTACACGAATGTAAAATCCAATAAATATTGATATTTGAATTACTCGAAAAGATTCTTACGAATATAAACTAACCAAAACACTACTTTCTTAATCCCAACTTAAGTAGTATCGATACTACTGTTACAATATCGATACTCTCATACTTGTAGTATTGATACCCTTATACGGTATCGATACCCTTATACGGTATCGATACCCATTTTCGATTCTGAAACTTCATCTCAAGAATGGTACCGATACTTCTCTTTTGGTATCGATACCCATGGTACCGATACTATCACTTCAGTAACGATACCCCATGAAGATTTTATAAACATTTTCCTTGTGGTATCGATATTGTTCATACAGTATCGATACCCTACTCAAACTTATCACTTAATATTGCCTTGTAGTATCGATATTTACCCAACCAGTACCGATACTACCAGCCCATATTCTGCTTCACTAACCCGAAAATTAACCAATATTCACTTAAACCTTCTATTTAAAACTTCCTTCTTGTCACTAAACTTAACTACACTTATTCAAATCCTTTTATATGCATATGAAACCTCATCATCTTCCATATCTCATTCAAATTCTTGAAACCAATAATCTTGCTAAATTTCCAACATGTTTTAATTTCATATCTAACACTTCATACTTCTTAATTTAACTTATGACAAGTCAATTTTAGTCTCCAATTCTACTTATTAATTCTATTTCAAGTTTTCACTAATAAACCTCTTATCTTTAATCTTTCCTAACTCCTTCATCTTTTGGTTTTAAGACAACTTAAGCTTTCCTTAAGCTTTCTTAATACCCAAAGAATCAAAACCTGTCATAAAATTAAGGAATAATCAACTTGTAAGAAACTTACCTTTGAAATGAGCTCACGGTGAAGAGCAAGAAGAAGAAGCAAAGTTTCCAGACTTCTCTTTTCTTTTCTCTCATTTCCACGTGGTTTCCCCTTATAAAGGGAAAATAAAAATCTTTCTTATCAAGTGACCATTATACCCTTTCTACTTTCAAACTTTTCTATTAACTTCAACACCGAAATTCTCCAATTAAGTCCCTGCACTTTTAATCTTTTCTGAAATTGATCACTAAATTTCAAAAAAAATTCATTTTGATCACTAATCCGACTTTTGGGATGTTACAGTTGGTGTGGCATGATTTGTAAAAGGTTGGTTCAGAATGGATGCATTATTTGAAATTCTTGTAAGTTGTGCACTTGTTGGTCACTTATTTTGGGGAGCTCAACTATATCAGGTAACTCCTGATCAAAGGTTTGATTTAATGGGAAATTGTTGCAAGCAAGCATAGGCTTTTAAGAAGAGTTTCTATTTATGGAGATGATCCAAGGTTTGATTAATATCTGTACAACACATGCCGTATTTTGAGTTATTTATGCTTGGACTTAGTTTAATAAGAGAACGAATGTAATGTGGTCCTATATAATACCCGAGATCGAACAGGTTAACAACCATATAGGCATAATTGCTAAAATTCTCATGAAATAGTTTTTTATTAGTCGAAAGAGGTTACATGCGTATTCCTAGAGTTAAGGTATTCTACTTACTGATTTCAAAGTCGACAGATTCAGTCCTAAAATGTTTAGGTAAAAGCTTAAATTCCAAGGCTAACATGATAAGAAGGGTTTTTACTGGTGGATTATTCAATACTGATTTGATCTCTGAACTTTGGCTACATGTAAATGCCTTTGAGGATCATTTTAATCTTGTTAGTTTTGTGTGGACAGCGTCTGTGTCTTATTTCAGTTGACGGGGGTTTCCTCAACTTCCTTTTGTACTTTCTTGTTTTACAAGTATGTGTTGAATTTGAAAATTGATTTTCAATCTTTAGCATAAAGCTTTTTGAATCAGTTGACCTATTTTGCTCAAGGAATGGGATTCTTTCTTATTCATGTCACTTGCAATTTATTCAGTCCTTGCTGTTGATTATTGTAATGGATGGCATATTTGGCGGAATGCATTCTTTTGATTTTCCTTTTACTTGAAATACATTTCATTTTTGTTACGACTTGTTGGTTGTTGCTTAGTGATTATTCTGTCCCTTAGAATTGTTTTCCGATAGGCATGTTGTACTTTGGTAGCTCCTGGTAAAATTGGTGCTTTGCGGTCTCATTTGATACAAGGAGAATTTGGAAAAAGGAGAAATTTTTCCTAGATTATTTTTTCCTTTTCCTTCCAGAAGTATACAAATTTGGCTTCTATAGCTGCCAAATCTGCAGTTGAGTAGGTAAAAAAAGATGGCCTTTGGTGAGGCAGTGTATTTGGCTTGGTGTTTTTTGTTTAGGCTCGCTTCATCTTTTCAGGGAAGTGGCCATGTTATCGATGCGGTATGTGTCGTCACTTGTCATGGCATTAACATTTTTTTCCCTTTTAGAAAAAAATATGGTAGTACAGAGGATCTTCATGAGGTTCTTTCAGTTAACTTTAACACTATAGTTTCCAACCGGACTTATATAAAGTTTAAGTATTGTAGGCTTGTGCCCTGCAGGATGATTTGGAGAGAGATAATCATGCAGAAGATATTACATTTCAACACGAACATGACAGACTGCAAGCAGTTAATGGAGAATCCAGGGAGCAACAATCGGTTCAACAACTACCAAATCAGAACCAAAGAGGTGGACGAGGTGCAGGAGGTGGACAAGGTGCAAGAGGTGGACAAGGTGCAAGGGTTGGGCGAGGTGCAAGGGTTGGCGGTAGGGGTGGTCATAGAGGTCGAGGCAGTGGAAGGGGAAATGTAACCGACCAGAATAGGCGTAATCAACCTGACAGTCCTTATTCTAGGAACCAACATAACAACAGGGGCAGAGGTGGTAGGAACGATGACTATGATGACAACTCGGACTGTTGTTGTTGTTGACCATGCCGAGACCACGGGGTGTTGTTTTTGGTTCTTTGGCATGATGATTTAGGTCTAGTTGTGGGTGTTATGTCTGGGCTGCATTATTTGGAACACAGTTTGTTTAGCTTTGTTTAGTTTTCGTCTGCTCTGGATATTCTCTGGTTTGACCGTTTCTGCCTGTGGAGTGGGTCGAGGCTTTACCATTGGAGTTTGTTTTGTGTGCATAGTTGGGAGTTTGATTTGTGTGCTTTGTTGGGAGTTTGTTTTGTGTGCTTTGTTGGGAGTTTGTTTTGTGTGCTTAGTTGGGACTGTTGTCTCCTTAGCCATTGTTTGGGACACTCTTTTTCTTCCATTTAGGATTAAGGTGGTCTTTTAACGAGACCCCTATAATGTGTGTATCTCTATATGTATTAATTTCTTATAATGTGTGTATCTCTATCTGTATTAATTTCTTATAATGTGTGTATCTCTATCTGTATTAATTTCCAATAATGTGTGTATCTCTATCTGTATTAATTTCCTAATTTTATAAAAATAAAAACAACCAGGGCTCAGTTGTTCAGGGTGGTAATCCCTCAGCTGATGTCGGTGTTGCCTCGTGACGGCAGCATCCATCAGATCCATTTTTCCAGGACGGTGTTAAGAATGTACTTTTTGTGCGTCGATTACATGGTTTGAATTTGGGTTGATGTCGATATCGTAGTATTCCGGAACACCCCATTTTACTTATTTTTTGTAGTTCAGTTACAATGATATTATGGGAAGAATCCCCACGGGGATTTTTTGGGAACAAGCCTTACGTGTTTCTGTTAATTTTTTTAAGAGCATATGACTAAAATAAATCAAACATTTGGTATAACTTAAAAAATAATAATTAACTAAAATAGAAAATAAGTAATAAGTGAGTGGTCAAATATAAGGGTGTTTATCGAGCGAGTCGATCACAAGTTGGATAGTGTTCGACTTGAGCCCGTTAATATTTTTTTGCTCAACTCGATTCGTAGTTCGTTAAGTTTACTCAACTCGATTCGTAATTCGTTAAACTTACTGAAATTTTTATCATATTTTCTTAACTATACGTAAAATCTACTAATACATATAGAGATTGATATAAATATAAATTAATAAATTTAACCAAAAAAATTATCAAAAAAGTTATTAAAAATGAATAGATTAATAACTTATTATCGTTTTTATTTATCTATTAATAAATTTGTATTTTTTAATGAAATAATTTTAAGATAACTTTTAAAATTTATATAAAAAATTAACAAGCTGCTCGTGAATTTATCGAGTGAAATTAAATTTTACTTGATTCAACTAGTTAAAGTCTAGAATCAAAATCGAGTTTAAATTAAATCAATTTAAATTAAAAAATTTCTAAATTTTATTGAGTTAAGTTCAACCTGCCCATAATCTGCCCATAATCTACTCAAGAGTACAATTCAATCTGCTCGTAATGTGCTGAGCTCATTAATCACCCCCTACTAAAAAAATAGAGAATTTATACTTCTAAACAAAAATATCAATATTCAGCCATCTCATTGTCAACATATAACTAGTCATCCTTTAGAAGAGCCACTCAGTTCTTGAACTGAACTACCTATCCTTACAGCATAACGATGGCGCTTGCAACCGCGCCAAGGCCACCGCCGCAACTTCTTCCATCTAAAACCACCAACATCCCAAACGCCCCTCCACCGGACCACCACAGCCGCATCCTCATCTCTTTGAAGCAATGCACCCACATGTTTCAGCTCAAACAAATCCACGCCCACACCCACCGTTCCACTTCACCTTACCATCCCAAAACCTTCTTTTTATACTCTCAGATCCTCCGCTTGTCTTCCTTCCTCGACTTCAGCTAGGCTCTTAAACTCTTCCACCAAATCCAAAACCCCAATTCCTTCATGTGGAACACTCTCATAAGAGCCTGAGTCCATAAAGTTAACAACAAAGAACAAGCCTTACGGCTTTATTTGGAGATGCTAGAGCAAGCTCTGGTTCTCCCAGATAAGCATACTTTCCCATTTGTTTTGAAAGGTTGCGATTACTTGTCTGCTTTCTCCGAAGGGAAACAGGTTCATGGCATGCCCATGCTTTGAAACATGGGTTCGGTCCGGATGTTTATGTAAACAACAGTTTGATTCATTTCTATGCAAGTTGTGGGTGTTTGGACTTGGCCGAAAAAATGTTTGTTAAAATGCCTGAAAGAAGCTTGGTTTCCTGGAATGTTTTGCTTGAAGGTTTTGTTCAGTTTGGTAAGTTTAGTAGCGCCTTAAACCTGTTCAGGGAAATGTGGAAGACGTTCGATCCTGACGGGTATACGCTGCAGAGTGTTATAAGTGCTTGTGCTGGTCTTGGGGCTCTGTCTTTGGGTGCATGGGTTCACGCTTATTTATTGAAAAGGTGTGATTTTTTATGCGTCTATCGATGTGCTGATTAAGAATTCATTGGTGGATATGTATTGCAAATGTGGTTCTTTAGAATTAGCTCGGCAGGTTTTCGAGGGGATGCCAAAACGTGATTTAACTTCGTGGAACCATATGATCCTAGGATTCGCAGTGCACGGTAAAGCAGAGGAAGCAATTAAATGTTTTCATAAAATGATTCAGACGGAGAGTTTCAGACCGAATTAGATCACTTTCATCGGTCTTCTGAGTGCTTATATTGCGATATGATGGTTACTGATTACAAGATCAAGCCTGCATTGGAGCATTATGGATGCTTGGTTGATCTTCTGGCCCGTGCAGGGTTCATCGATGAAGCTCTTGACCTTGTATCGACGATGCCTCTGAGACCGGATGCCGTCATCTGGAGAAGTCTACTCGATGCTTGTTGCAAGAAGAGTGGAAGCATTGAGCTCAGTGAAGAGTTGGCCAAGCAAGTCGTTGAATCAGGAGGAGGCAATGGTGTTTATGTCCTGTTAACAAGAGTTTATGCATCGGCCTGTCGGTGGGACGATGTAGGAATGTAGGGATGGTAAGGAAATTAATGACCGATAAAGGTGTAACGAAAGAGCCTGGTTGCAGCTCAATCGAAATCAACGGTGTTACACACAAACTTTTCGCGGGAGATACGTCTCATCCTCAAACTAAAGAAATATACCATGTGCTAGAGGTGATCGATGAAAAACTAGAATCGGTCGGATATTCACCTGACTATCCACAAGCACCGATGATCGTCGAACATAATGAAACTAGACAGCATTCCCTTAGGCTGCACAGTGAAAGACTGGCCATTGCTTTGAGGCTTTTGAAGCTGCAACCAGGTATGCCACTACGCATCTTTAAAAACCTTAAGGGTGCGTTTGGTTCACGGAATATAAGATTATCAGTGAGAATAGGATTACCGGAATGTAACATTACCTAACACATTACTGGAATGTTATATTACTGTGTTTGGTTTGTTTGGCAGTAATGTAAGATTACAGTGTTTGGTTGAAGGAATAAAAGATTAATGGAATGTATATTTTACCAAATTGACTTTGTTCTATATTTTTTAACAAGTGAAATTCTAATTATTTAAATAAAAATTATTTATATAAAAATTCATCGTTAATATATTTAAATAAAAATTATTTATATAAAATTTCATCGATAATATATTATTTTATTATTTAAATATATCATGTATTCTTTTAATTTTAATTAATATTAAATTTAACATAATTTATTTAAAAAATATATTAACATTTTACTTCAACATAATTTATATAAAAATATATCACGTTCAATTTTACTTATTTGAAGTTCAAATGTCAACATCTGCAGCCCTTTCCCTTTTCCTAAACTTAGCGCCAAATCATGAAGATGGTAGGGCATTTTATATCAAACCTTATTGGTTGATGATTAAAATTGTAAAGAAATATGAGAATTCATCCATATATTAAACTCCAGTCTCTTCTATGTTAATTGATTCATCAAAATAATTTGCTTCAACCATCCATCTCCTTCAGAATATAGGCCTTCATAAACATAGCAAGACAATTATGTTAGACCTTGGAGGTTGAAAACTAATAATCGCTATATGATTTTTCTTCTCCACCTAATGTTTTATTGCTTATTGTTTTGTCTTTCTTGTCCACATGCAGACCTATTATCGGTTATTTCCTATTGATTTAAAACTTTTCCCAATAAGAGTCTACATGACTTCGACTCAAGATGAATGTTTGGTTGTATATGTGTCCAACATGGATATGTGAAATTTGTTTTTGGAGTTTTTCCATATATTTGGAGAATCATACTCCTTACCATATCTAAATATGCATGGATAAAAGTATCAACCATTAATACATCACAAAAAATGAATAAGTACAGTAACATTGGAGTTGAGGTAATTCAGATGGTGCAAAGGATATGTATTATGCAGTACAGCCGAGGGAACTTATACTGAGCATATTAACAAGTTAAATTGAATGATCAATTCAAATAAAACAAGGTAAATTTCTACACAAACTCATACACCAAATAATGCATCAAAAGTCTCCACGATTGAAATACTAAATTTCGAGTACATGAAGTTAAAACAAAAAGAGTTATGCAGGACTTGCCATTTTTAAAGTAGCAAGACTAACCAAATTGAAATGAAGTACAATACATGAAACTAGTTCTTTGGTATGTTATTCCCAACAATCTTAGCCGGGGTTATACGTAGCAGATTTCCAGGCTTACCAGGGACAACACCTTTGATCATCACGACTCGAAGCTCACTGTCGATTTTCACAATCTTGAGCTTTCTGATCTTTCTTTTGCTTCCTCCCATTCTGCCAGGCATTTTCTTCCCCTTGTACACACGACCAGGTGTTGTTCCAGCACCAATAGACCCCAATGCTCTGTGACTCTTAGAACCATGAGAAATTTGACCTCTTTTAAAATTATGGCGCTTTATTCCACCTGTGTAAAAATTAGGGCAAAAATCATGTATGTTATTACATTCCACCAATGGGGAATTTGAATTGCCAAACCAATAAGACCCACATTATGGCAAAGGAAGCTAAAGCTTTCAAAGAAAAACCCTAGAATTCCATATCAAGATGATAAAACAATGTTAAATGAGCAAAGAACATACTTAGAAGAGAATATACCAACCAAAAACACAGAGTTCGAATAATATGTTTATGTATGCATGCAACATCAATAACAAAGAAAAAAGAATACACCCATTTTTGAACTCTGCAATTTGACCAACATGAAATTGAAGTCTGTGACACCAGCATATATTCACGATGAAGCAGTGAACCACACAATTAATTCATTTCAACTTACATATAAGCATTATATGTTCATTCATCAACATCTTCAATAATGCTAAAATCAAGCAATCTACCATCAATTGATCACCTTCAAAATGCAATACATAAATAAAATCTAACCTTGAAATCCTTTTCCAATAGTGGTCCCAGAGACATCAACAAGATCACATTCCTTGAAAAT